ACGTTGGATTTAGGTCGCGACGTCGGCGACTTAAATACAACGTTGTATCAACGTCGAAATCACGATGGCAGTCCGACGTCGCAGTTAGACGCCGACCCGACGTTGTGTTTTGGTCATAGTTTGTAATAAGTTGATTTTATCAAGTTTATACATTTTATACACATGATGTGACAAAACGTTGCTCAATAATCGGGATACTGCTGCAAATGAATACTAAAACTCGATCACATTATTTATTCAAGTTGCTTCCCTTGCTTGTGCCCTTAAATTGGTTTCTGAAATTGAAATTTCCGAGTGGTGTCGCGATTTTTTTGACTTTTTCTTTTCTTTTAAAATATTTTGTTTGAATTCATCTTGTTGAACAAAGATTTGCAGAAATTTTTATAAAGATAGCTTCTTATCATGTAATTTGGATAATTCCGAAAAGAAAATCATATTTACTTTCCTAAAAATAGATCGACGCGTGTCGCTTTTTGTAGTCTCATTCAATCAGACGCTTGATCACTCTCTATTCGGCGTGGGCAGGCAACAAGAGTCTGGTTGAACGAGACTACGCTTTTTGCCGCCTTTTGAACCAAATTTGACCGCCATTTTGCAAACCGTGTGCGAGAGAGAACGAGTCAGCAACTACTGTACATATTTAAAATAATAAAACAAGGTAAGTTGATGCAATGTATGTTTAGATGTATATAGCACTCATGTTCTGTTGTTTTACACGGCTGTTTCAATGAAAACTTAGCGTAAAGTTCCTTGTGCAATTCAACCCGATTCGGCATCGCGCCGATTCGTACCATTTTGTGAGAGAAAACAGTTTTTCTCTTAAATAAGCCATAAAATCTTTATCCTTTATCTAGAGATAAATATTAGTCCAGTCTTTGTGATTTTGACATTTGGTCAGGATCAGTTAAGGCCCATACGCAGTTATGTATGTTATTAAACTAGTTTTGAAAAAATAATAAACAGTAATACGACCTTGATCCCTAGTTTCTATTAGTGTGAGGATTATTTCTGTCACTTGTTGTTTTGATGAAAACATCAGTGAATGAGTGATTGAAACTTTCACTAACGCCAAGGTAAAAAAAACCCTAGGAAAACTGTTTTTGGGCTAGTAAAAATGTCCTCATTATTAATGATTTATATATATATATAGTGATGGGCTAAAATGAATTTTGATAATTTACATGGGAATATAGTATTTCAGGCTAGTGCTTGAAAATCTGAATTTCGAAACACTGAAAAATCTTTAAAATCCTGTAAAAATGGATGGATACTGCTCGCCAACAGTATATAAATGTTACACTGACAATATTTTTAACAGATACAGTAGGGCACTAACTGCGCGTGTCGTAGCTAAAAACTGCTCTTAATTTAAAAATCACTTATGTTACAATTAATTGTACATCCCTATCTAACAGTTATCCATGATACAATAAACATATATTTCAGTTTTGTGAAAATGGCAGAACGCAGCAATTCATATTTGAAGCGGTGGCGAAAATGTCAAGCTGAAGCAACAGCATTAGCATTAATAAGCAGCAGTAGTGAGGATGATTATGCAGCAGAGGACGTAGAGGAGATGCATGTAAGCACAAATTCAGAAGACGATGTAGAGGAGATGAGTGTAAGCACAAATACAGAAGACTATGTAGAGGAGATGCGTGTAACCACAAATACAGAAGACGATGTAGAGGAGATGCATGTAAGCACAAATACAGAATCGGATCATGACAATAATGATTCTTCAGATAGTGTTCATGATTCAGAATCCAACATGGAATCTGATTTTGGATTTACAGAAGAAATACAGTCATCAGATGCAGACCTAAGTGGAGAAAATAACAGCACTGACGAAGAAGAAGAAAAGAGTGTTCATGAAAAGTTGGCTTTGTGGGCTACCAAAAATAAATGTACGGTCTCGTGCACTAATGAAATTCTTGAAATATTCCAAGGTGTGGGACAACAACTTCCAAAAGATGCAAGAACCCTACTTCAAACACCCAGGAATGTTGTGGCTGAAGATAAATGTGGTGGAAAGTACATATACTTAGGACTGCAGAATGCAATTACCAGGATTTTGACCCGAAACTCAAACCGTGTTGAACAGGTCATTGATTTAAAAGTAAACATAGATGGCATACCACTGTTCAAGTCATCGGGAACAGAGTTTTGGCCTATTCTCTGCAGCTTTAATGATTTCACTCCATTTGTAGTTGCATTAATTTATGGGAATTCAAAACCTCGGTCTCTTCCTGAATTTCTGGATGTTTTTTTACATGAAATCCATGTCCTCAAAGAAAATGGAATAGAGCACAGTGACAAAACTTTTGTGTTGAAAATTAAGGCATTTATCTGTGATGCTCCTGCTAGGTCGTTCTTGAAATGTGTCAAAGGTCATACAGGATACTATTGTTGTGAACGGTGCACTATTAAGGGATACTATAAACATCACCGCATTTTGTTTAACTCACTGGAATGCTTACCTGCAAGAAGTGATGATGCATTTAAGACAAACCAATACACTGACCATCAAACTGGTGTCACTCCACTGGTCAACATCGGTATCAAGTGTGTACAAGATTTCAGTTTAGACTATATGCACATGGTGTGTCTTGGTGTTGTCAAGCGTATCCTTTGGTTCTTAAAACAAGGGCCAAAGGAATGTAAACTTTCTCAAAGACAATGGAGTAAAATTTCGGACAACCTGTGTTTACTGTCTGGTAAATTGCCTTCTGAATTTGCAAGGCAACTCAGGACTCTTAGATAATTAGAGAGATGGAAAGCTACAGAATTCAGACAATTTCTACTTTACACTGGGCCGATTGTTCTTAAAAAAGTTGTATCAAAAGAGCTCTATAACCATTTCATGTCACTAAATGTGGGTGTTTCCATCTTACTTGAAGCTAATGATAACAAAAGGACAGCTTATTTAGATTATGCTGAAGAGTTGTTGAAATATTTTGTTGACAACTGTAGTGCCATTTACGGGGAGAAATTTACTGTATACAACATTCATAATCTTAAGCACTTAAGTGATGATGCGCGCCATTTTCGGTGTTCCCTGAATGATGTTTCCGCCTTTCCTTTTGAAAACCACTTGCAGTCAATTAAACGTTGTGTGAGGAATGCGAAGAATCCAATTTTGCAGGTTGAAAAAAGACTCGAGGAAAAGGAACTGTCTGGTTCTGACAACTGTGAGTCGAAAACAAACTTGACATATATTTCTGCAAACAAACGAAACGGATGTTTTCTGTTATCAAATGAAACATTTGCATTTGTGAGGGAAAAGAGAAAAAAAGAAATGTTATGTGACATTATACGGATAAATCAGACAGAAAACTTTTTCCGAAACCCATGTGACTCAAAACTGGTTAATGTAGTGTTTGTTAGAGATAGGTGTGGCATGTCAAGGAGACTGGTGGAAAGAAGTGAGATAGACCAAAAAGTTGTGTGCCTGCCATATTCTGATGGATTTGTGCTTCTCCCAATGTTGCATGGCATGGAAAAATAATGATAAAAGGTAAATCGATTTGTTCATAATGATACACAGAAGCGAAGGTATAAAGTTTTTAGTTCATGAACAGTTACTTGATGTTTGTTGCATATGATTGTTATTATCAGTTCATCACTTACACTGAACATCAATTATAAAGGTCAACCCTTTACTCCAAAGATACATCTATGCATTTTCACGCATCTAACCATTACCCCATGAATACGCCTTTTCTCGTATCTCGAGTATAGGTTTGTAATTGTATTAATTGAATATTTTATTAATTAACACCTACTAGTTTTGTCCCTGTTTCAAGAAGTATCCTACTGTCACCGGAATCGGATAATAATTTAACCCTTTACCACCTAAAGATGCACATTGACGCGAAAGGAGCAGACGACTTTTGAAAACATGTGAGCAACTTTTCCTTTGGCCACAATGTTTTCAACTTTATTTAACAACTAAGCTATCTTTTATGGAGATTTTTCAGGTTTTTGTCACTATTTTCAAAGTCGTCTGCTGCAGATTTGTTGTATGTGGGAAAGGATGGCTTTAGTTTGTTTGATGATTATAACTTAACAGGATGTGGATTCGGGCAGTGTGGAAGGAGACTGAAGAGGAGGAGGGCGTCATACCTGCGTCATGGGTCAATGAAAACGTTGTGTTTTGGCCCCCTGGGTCAAATGCTGACAAGGCCATGAGAAAAGGGGAAAAGCCCACAGAAAAATGGAGTCGGTTCAGGCTAATAAAGATCAAGCTTAAATCGGGTAAAGTTTGTTACATGTTCTACTTGAAACACAAAAATAAAGATTATTATAATGAGTTGTAATTTAAACAAAACCAGAGATTTTTAAAATAACTTGACACAAATGTTCAACATGACAAGAGGGTGTGTCGCGAACAATATTTGGCGTCAACGGTCAAGGTCACACTTAAGGGTTATTGGTCAAAATTTATTGCAAATAGGCCTGTCCACAGGCTGTAACTTGGCCATGCATAGGTGTGTTTTTTTTTAAATAACCTGACACAAATGACGCTTTTTCCCAACAATACCCATCCATATTAATTATACCCCCAGTATACGTAGTATATTGGGGGGTATATAGGAGTCACGCCTGTCGGTCCATTGGTCTGTGGACATTTCTTGTGAACACTATTTCTCAGCAACCCTTGGTCAGAATTAAATGTAACTTCACAAGAATGATTGATACCAAGCCTAGTTGTGCATATTGTGGGCGTGTTGCACTGGAATTATTTTTAAATGAGTTATGGCCCCTTGAATTTCTCATACATATGTATATTGTCAGGCACCAGCTGGGAGTATTCCTCACCTTCAGTGATATACTAGTTTGCCATCATTTTCTGATTGCTAAACATGAAAACCTGGTTTCGTAGTATTGCAGCGTCTCTAGTTGTTAGTATGTATTGCACAGTATGTTCCTGTTTTAGAGAGCAAAGCAGAGTGTGACCGTCATGATGATACTACAACCATCGAAACATCTGATGATGATGATGAAGATGCAGATGCCATGGTTAAACGAAAGCAAAAGAAAAAACAGTTCCATGACTTTCTAACAGGTATAACTGCATACTATGTTGCATTGAACTAGGCTACAAAAATACCAATTTTGAAGTTTAGTTTGGTTATGTTGTAATTGCAAAAGGTTATGAATGCTATTTGATAGGAAATAATATGAGTATTTTAGGCCAGATTTGAAATAACTTAAGAGATAATTCTTAAAATGCCAACTCGACTAGAAAGGTTAAGCACATTTATTAGAACAGTTGTTTATACGTATTGTAAACAGATTTTATTTAGCACCACATTTAGAAATTGAATGGTTTTAAAAAATGAATATATTGAAATACAGATTACTGGTATATTTTGCAGATTAACATGATGCTTGTAGAACAAAATCAGTGTATGGATATGCTTACAAAAGTATGATTTATACCATAGAATTAATAGTGATTGTAGATTTTTTATAGGACTACAGTGTACAACAGCATATTAAAGGGACATGTAAGCAGTGTGTTACCAGACACAGTCCATATAGCTGTAAATGCCATAGTCTGGAAGCCAAAAGTAATTATTTACCGGTTTTATATTTGTGCCATTTATTACAGATGGAGTTACAGAGAAGGAGCAGGCAGACAATGATATATCAGAATGCAGAAATGAGCCAGCAAGAACTGGTGAGTGCATGTGCATTTTTAGAAATGGTGTAAAATTTGTTTCATGATTATCATGTAATGAGGCCACAAAACATTAAGTTTTACAGTAAGTCAATAATAATGATCAAGAGTTGTGTATATCTGCAGTGCTCATGAATAAGTGACCTCTGTAGACAAAAATGAACATTATACAGTAAATGTGCACTATAAAAATTTACAGCTTGAAAGAACTAGCATGAAATGATTGACCAACTAACACTAATGTTCTATCATCATTATAGTAAAGTTTAAACTGTATGTCAGAAATACAAACTTGAAAATACTGAACACACTCATTTTTGTACAGGTATGGTTAATCTCCCAGTTCCTCCAGTGAAATTTACGAAGCAAAGACAACCCAGATCAAGATCTCCCCTTGTTAAGAAAAACAAATGTTTGAAAGACAACTCTGAGTCTTCCTCCAGACTTCCACTTGCCATGTCACAACAGTCCAGTGGCACACCTCCAGTTACCCAATCTAAGAAATCCACTTCACAACCTCTTGTCACGCAAATAACTTCAATATCATCCAGGCCTCAACTTGCCATGTTGGAACAGTCCAGTGCCAGACCTCCCGTCACCCAATCAAAGAAATCCACTTCACAACCTCTTGTCACGCAAACAACTTCAGTATCATCAAGGCCTCAACTTGCCAAGTCGCAACAGTCCAGTGACAGACCTCCAGTCACCTAATCAAAGAAATCCACTCCACAACCTCTTGTCACGCAAACAACTTCAGTATCATCAAGGCCTCAACTTGCCATGTCACAACAGTCCAGTGGCAGACCTCCAGTCACCCAATCAAAGAAATCCACTCCACAACCTCTTGTCACCAAACCTTCAAAGACAAATAATTCAAGGTCACGGCAATCAATTAGCCCTCAGAGGTCATTCCGGTCCAGGAGTCTGAGGTCATCCCGGTCCAGGAGTCAGAGGTCATCCCAGTCCAGGAGTCGGAGGTCATCCCAGTCCAGGAGTCCGAGGTCATCATGGTCCAGGTAAGGTTGTACTGATAATCGCTTAAAATTGAAAGTTGATCAGAAAGGCCTACATCGGCGACAATCGATAGAGAAATTTGAACTATAGGTTTTAAAAATGGATTGTTTTAGTAATTCATTTTCTTAGTATCCTATTCATGCGACATACGTCATTTGTCTTCCACCACTGGGCTTAAACTATGTGGAAAAGCAGCCAGTTGCTTGGGAAGATTATTGTGTGGAGTACTGGTGAGAAAACCAGGAAATGCATGAGTAGGTGAACTGGCCGCAGTAATATAACTTAGAAATTGTTAAAAACGTCGTTAAACGGCGTTAAACTTCAATCAATCAATCAACCTTTTCATTCGGTTTCAATATGGCACAAGATAGGAACAATTCCGAGAACAACACAATTTATAAATTTCACCCTGGCAAGCCTAAATCAAGGGTTAAATTTGGTGTAATTTCAGGTTTTAGAAGAGAAAAGAGCAATTTGCAGACGTTGCAGTGTACATAAATAAAATTTTACTTCGCTTTACTTTTCATTTTAAACTTCCAAAATTTCGTGGCATTTTATGATTCATATAATAGACAATTCCCAAAATCAGAACTGAGGTTTTTGAACGAACATGTAATTGTTTAAAACAATTTGAATATTCATTTAGTTGATATAGTACTGTCAGATTGGTTAATATAATATTTTTATTTCCTAAATTATTTTTAGTGTTGTCAGATTATAAAGAATTAATATACACACATTAANGTCCCGGTCCAGGTCCAGCAGCCAACTGAGGACTAGGTCCATTTTTGCTGCAAATGAGACTCCGACAAGAAAAGAGGCCTTCCCAATGACTGAAGCAAGTATGTGAAAAACCAGATAAATAATATTTTAATAGTTTGTTTTTACCAATTTATTTTAGCTTGATTGTAACAAAAGCTGACAGCTTAAAGAGTCACTCTCGAGTCCGTTTCCTGGGTCAAGCCAGTACGGAGTGTCCATTGTGAAAGCCACAAGAACGTTATAGTTTTTTTAAAGGTACTGGCCACCAGATGATACCATTGCAAGAAAAAAAGATTTTTTTTCAAAAACTTGCATAAAATTGATATTGGTGTGTACAATACATGGAAACTTGCATGAATCGAAACATCTTTCCCAGGTTTTTTTTTCGTATTTTTCCATTTCAAAAAGTCTCTGGCTTAGTCTTCCAGGTAAAACTAAAAAGAGATTTCTATAACGTTATGATAATTGTTGAAAATTCGAGTAGTCAAGCACTAGCCCAAGCAGCTCAGTTGGTAGAGCGCCAGACTCATATTCTGGCGACCCGGGTTTGAATCATCGCTCCGACCCAAGCTGTATTTTTTCCATTTTTTTCTAAAATTTCAATATCAATATTTATGCAATAAGTGATTTTAGAAAACCTATTTTAGTGTCAATCTGGTTGCCAGTCCCTTTTAAGTAATTTTATTTGTTGTGTATGTTATGGACATTTGATGAGGAAAACAACTTTTTGTGTGTGTGTGTATTAAGAACATTTCAAGGAGAATGATTACCGTGAAATCATTTAAATATGTTGGGTTGAAATTTGGCCCATTGGCTCAAAAAGACATTTTTGCGCATTCTGTTATTATGTTATGCTTATTACTTAAAAGTAAACACATTGAAATAACCGAAGTAAACACATTGAAATAACCTGGTTTAAATTTTGTGCTCAAATTTAACCTAAGCACGAAAATTATACCACTGCTAATATTATTTGTTCACAGTATTATAAGAATTTATTTACTACTTTAACAAGTCTGCAAGTTATTTCATCAATAATGTATTTTTTAAGGGTTTCAAAGACGTGTGCTGTTCGTTTTGGCGGACATGCGACAGCAATTGTCGACGTTGAGTAGAGATCATTTAGCTCCTGCGCAAGGCGATACTGGTGAGGTTTTACCAGAGAAGGCTGAAAATCTTCAAGAGTTGGGTGAAATTGAAGAAATACTTAAGAATCCAGAAAATCGAAGACTTGTGGTAAGTTATATGCTGTTTAGAAAAAAATGATTCACTTACAGTCTGTACAATTAATAAACAATATACTGTAGTACAGCTATGTCGAACATTGTCAGTTGCAGTTTTAAAAATGTTTAATTGCAATCATCATCAGCAACCACGGCACTTATTGACTTTTTCCGTTACACTTCATAACGTATGCCGTGGGTAAATTGACATTCGAAATCTCGTTTTCATGAATATGCATGAACAGGGGAGACAAGTCAACTGTATGTAATAATAGGCATATTGAATGTTATTGTGTTGGTGTCGATAAAGTTGAAAAGCAAATTTACCTAGGTCTTAAAATTCAAATTTGGATATAAAATTTCATTTTTAATAAAATATTAAGTTTAATTCCAGTAAGAAGTTATATAAACTAAGAAATTAAAGTGTAGCTAAAAGCTGTATATATTTGGGTATTCAAAGCACATGTAAGGGGAGTTTTGAATTGATTGGTTAGATTTCAACAAAACCAATTTGTGGAACGAATGAAACTGCCTTATTAATAATTACTGATTACGAGATTTTCCTAGTCAAGTGGCCCACGATAAAATGCGCAGTAAGGATATCAGGGGTATCCGACAATGAAGTGCTATGTGCAATAGTTCATCATTTTTGTTCTCATTCTGAGGTTGTTATCAGTTGGAAAATTAAAGCTTTCTCGCAAAACCGAGAAACTGATATTTTTTACTCAAATAGTTTTATTACATCTTATTTACAGATCGAACGACTTTGTAGTGTC